AATGCATTTTAATACAGAATTGGCGAATTCTCTACTTGAAGTTTTGTAAAATACCATCTCATACAATATGACAGCAGTTACGGAGGGCTATAGCGAGCTAATAAATGAGCTGAAGGACCAGGACTACTTAAGCAGTAGAGTGAAATGTGGTCCATCTCACGCTTTTCTAAGAGGGCGTAGGATGTAAGCAGAGAACTGAACGCCAGGTTCACCAATTGATATTGTGTAATGCAATTTCGATAACAGCAAGAATATTAGCTGCACTATTCGTACGAAAATATGCTACAAGGAAGTAATTGTCTATCAAAGCACAGCAGTGAATTGAGTGCAAAAAAAGTAAATTACATTTGATATATTTAATAGCTACGAAAAAGGAAAAAATTATGACAAATTGCCAAAGTGTCCCATTTGCCATCCAATCATTTCTTAAAAGCGCCTTCTTTTTGCGGACAAGTCGACATCAGGTAAATTGACATTCGAGCTCGTCATCAGCGCTGTGGGTGATTTCTCGTTCGAGACTGTACGACATGGCGCATTCTCAATATCACTCAACAGCTGCAACAGTTCACTTACAATTCGCAGAAGATCGAAATTATAGCAATATTCATACGTTTACAGCAAGATCAAGAGGAATCAATAATTCTCACTCTCACATATACAGTAACTGCCGAGCAAAAAGTTGAATTTTTCAAACAGTTAATTTCCTAAATGAATGCGGACACGTAAGGCACTAGTATGCAGGAAGGAGAGTGATGGACAAAAAGCTACTGGAGGAGAGAACATGGAAACGGAAGAGACCTATTATCGTGACCCTAATATTTAGATTATTAGACTAGGGAGTGTATCCCGTCTGTATGTGAGTGTACGTGTGTGTAAAACGCCATGCCCTATATACATTTTTATTAATACATAGTAAGTTAAAAGTATAATGCATAAAAAAGAGGTGAGGCTCTCGGGAGCCGAAGCTCCCCAGAATAGGAGCATTAATTATATAGAAGTCGCAGTTGGAGATTGGTAGTGGTGATCCCGGCGATGGGGAGCAGTGCTTTTATACCCCAGGGGACAAAGATCGAAAGTTCAATGAGGGTAGCGTGGTTAAAGTTTGAACCAGGGACAGAGGTACTGCGTCATAGTAACGCAGTTGATCTTTCATCTATTTTTAACAAAAACCATTAATCATTATTTGATATATTACGCGACACTATCCTTTTTTTAAAAAGTTTCTCCCAACGTTAAATTAACGGAATCCTATAAATTCAACCGCCTCTATTAATAACCTTTGTCATACCGATTTATCAGTAAAACGCTATCAGTAGGAAAAAATTTTTCAAATATTTCTCTTAAAAAAATTAAAAAAAAAACCGGCATCAAGTCCTGGAAACCTTACATTCAAAAACGTGGATACTGATGCAGACAAGTTCTAGTAAGTGGCAGAAACCAAACAATAACCTCCGAAATAGCGTACAATGCAAAATGCGAGGTGCAGGCTACAGCCATTAAATAATTCATGAAATGCGAAGTCCTGGCACAGATGCATCCAGGACGACAGTGTTTCTTCGGTAGTATTAAATATATTTGCGTTGATAGTCAAAGTGGTTTTGGTTATACAAAATTTTGCGCTTACCGTCTCGTGAAATTGGGCTCGCAGTTCTTCAGTATATTCTCCTGGTATGAAGCTAAATTTGAACCTGCAATGACGGAGAAAATGAAATATTTGTGCCGCCAGTGAAGCCAATGCAGTTTAGCCTGATATACTTACGATCTCATTTTTGAAAGTAACAATACATCTCCGAAAGTTACGACACCGATAGTTGGCGTAACCCGATTAAAGCAATATTGCCAAATTTCTTGAAAAACCCATTTTTCCCGTTGAGTTTAGTGCTTGAAATTTCAAAATCGTTTTCAAATGCGTTTAAAAATCGTCTTCAAATTACTTAGCAAGTGCAGTTTAGCGTTTGTCAGCAGAATTTAGCACATCACTATATAAGGCAACCGAACATTTTAGTGTCGACTGCACATAACAAACGTCTAGCTGATACCTGTCCTGTTCACTTTGTAATTCGCTTTCCTTTCTTTTGATTTTTTGGAAAAGGCTGAAACGCTCCTCCGATACTGTTGTGCTCAGATTTGCAACATCGGTACTGGTATTCATATTCTGAAATTCGACAAACGCAAGTTGAACTAACAAACACAAATAACGCTGCAAAAGCTAATGTTAGAAAAACATGAAGATAAGTTTATTCGTGGACACAAAGTGATCTTGGCAATCGGAATTCTACCTGTTTTGCATTCCCTTCATCGATTTCAAGTTCAAAAGACTCCGCTTCCGAGATAGTTGCATTGAGTGCGCTGATTTCATCCTGACAAAAAGCTCATTATCTGTTTTTTTTTTCAATTTCTTAAGATGAAAAAAAAAAATTTGTATTGGGCTACTTTGAAAAGCAGAAATATATGATGTCTACTAACCCAGTCCTCCCTGGACAATGATTTGTCGGCTTCGTAATTTCCAAATCTCTGCAATAATTTATGCCTGCATAAAAAAAAAAAAAGAAGAAATGGGAAAGAATATTTAATCAAATCAATATGAAGTCATGATAATATTAAAATACTAGTCCAAATCGTGGAAGAAGTGAATGCATAAAAACTTTCTATATTTTGTCTCAAACTTGTAAGGTGTTTTGCATGCAAAAAATTTCCAAAAATAATTGAAAATACAGCCAAATCCCTTTTTTTTGCGAATTTAAAAAGTGAAACAATTCAGCCCGCAACAATACCTCCGTGTAATCACTTCGAAGTTCTTTTAGTTCATCGAAAATTTTGAACTTCCTGTCTTCCAATACAGCAAACAATCGTCCATGGCTGAAAAAAAAGAGCCAACAGTAAAGTGAAAATATCCTGGAAAATAAAGTGCCCAATTAATACTGACCTGCGTTTGAAACATTCATCGTTGAAAAGAGACTGGAAATCAGCAAAAGTGGTTTCGTCCACCAAATGCCCTGAAAATTTCTGGAACCTTACTTTATCACAGTTCAAAATTCTTTTCACTGCCTTGAAGGGAAATGTGCTCAAAGCCGCTGCTGATAGTGTTCTTTTTGCAAATTACATTTGAGATAACAGACAGATGTTCGTCCTGCCTCCTCCCCTCCCCCCTCCCAGTATGACTCCAAGATATTCAAAATCCTGCAGCTCTGGAAAATCGAAAACCAATTTCTGGCACGTTGGCATAAGTATTAACTGCTACAGGGATGGTTATTTAAAAGTTAAGCTGAAGAATCAGATAAGCTGCAGGAGGGAAATGATCCAGAAAATTTTTCCGAGCAAACAAAGAAATGCTAGGGGGACCAGCACACCGAAAATAAAGCTGGATGCATTTTTAACTTCTCTTCTTTCCTTCCTTTCTCACTTTGTTTGCTCCTTCACTCATATCTATTTCTTCCTGTCATCTGTCTTGCAAATTAGACACATGACTATTCAAAACATGGCGGGTAGGAGGCTGTACTGATGATTCCCACTCCTACCCGCATGCACTGTTCGATCAGTGTATACAGCTAAGCGATGAAACACAGACTACGTCATAAAATGTCTTCAAACATATGACATTCAAGTGAAATCCTTCTATTCTTCTATTTCGACCACTTCCGCAGTGCTTTCTTACTGTCTAATTGCCGAGAGAGAAGAATGACGGAAATGTTGCAGTTCGAACACTTGACGTATCCGTACGCGACACATACGCAAGCAAAGCTTGTTTTACGCTCAACAAACTCGCACATGGAACAGCAAACATCCCCATTAAAATGTGGCCTCCCGCTTAATGTAATTAAAAAATTAAATAACCGACAATGTTGTCTCAAAGTGATTAATAACTGAGGCCTAAGTGTATCTCAAACTAAATTCAAAATAGACCGTACATGGACCTCTAACATCGCCGTTAGCCAGCTTATCTGACTTTCGAATTTGCTTCTTCGCTGCAAATTTATTCGAAACGCAATGCAAAATCTCATATGGAGAGCAAATATTTTTGCAGAACTAAAGCTTCTTCATGGCTAGTGTTCTAAGTTAACATTGGCCCAAGCAACGAACTTTGACATGCCCTTAGGCGTGGTGTAAGTTTATATAATAGCTGATTTTGAAATATTTAAGTTACACACAGAAGAGAACATCCTTGTAAAGTTTCAGTTTTTCCTGATAACTGATTCTCAAAATCGTTCTCCCGCCAAAATCTCTTCAGACTTCCTTCCAGGCATTCGTGCTTGAATGCTTATTTTAGAAAAGGAGGGTTGCGAAGGGGTTGTAAACATAATCCTAAAGTTTCAGTTTCCTAGTTTTTCCGTTTGCTGAATTGTAAGTGGTTGACAAACTGTACCCCGAATACACTGACACAAATACAAACACACACATACACACTACACAAGAGATTTCTTGACAATATACGTCCTTGCATTACATCAAATTTGCAAAAATTCATAGAAACACACGCAAGCTAAGTTTGTGGAGTTATTTTTGCAGAAATTTCTATAAACAAGCCAAAGCTGCCGACTTTCAATATCTGCAAATATTCCTGAAAAGATTTCTCTTAATTTTTGTGTTTTTGCATACATGCAAATGCAGGAACGCATATTGGCAAGAGGTTGTCTGCGTTTATTTATGCTTATATTACTTTGATTAACTTACAAATGAAACGTTGGAAGTATTTGGTGGCATCGACGCATTTCTCCTCAGTCAACAGGAAAACACTGTCTTCTCGACGAACGAAGCAAAATATCTTCCCAGACTGATCGTTCAATAAGGAAAATGAGTCACTGTTCGTCCCTTCTTTC